GGATCGTTAAATATCTAGAATGAAGGCCTGATATGAAAGCACAGAAATGAGATTAAAAAAAAAAAAGACAAACAAGAGACAAAAAGACAAAAAGTCGACACAAAACAACACAAATGAGATGGAAAACTACCAACAGGAGACACAAAGTGAAAACAAAGATAGAAACTTTCCCCCAAACACAAAAAATGACCAAAAGGACAGTTTGTGAAGCTGTAAATAGTTAAATATGAGGAGCTCCAGCGTCGGTGACGTCTGCGGACTCGTTGTTTAATCCAGGTTTTTTACGTTTTTGTAAAATAAACAATCAAAGTTTTCGTTGTTTATTTTTTGCGGTTTATAGCATTCTAAGTGTGTCAGAGTGAACAGAAGGCGTTTGGCTGGTTTCAGAATTAAATAATCAATTCAGAGCTTCAGTTTGTTTTGGTTTTGTTTCATTTCTTTAGTGAAAAATGAGTTGGAATGAGCCGGGAGCAGAAAATGAGTTCAAGCTGTTGAACACTCTCAGGTGCTGATTCTAACTGGGCACAAAGTGACTGGGGACTGACTTGACAGAGATGGCGCTGGGCCACCGGCCACCCAGTTTGGCAAAGTGCTTCCTGGGGGAGTTGATCCACAAACCCACTGGGAAGTGCAGCTTTCTGAAGCGAGGACTTCCAGACCCCTCCATCTGAGGAGAAAAAACAAAAAACCACACATATTACTGAGAAATTGGAGATATTTGGACGTTTCCTCCGACCTGCCTCCACATTACAGCGAAGGATGTGTGTCAGCGGCGAACAATAACACAATGGAGTGAAGTCACCATCCAAAATATCAACAGGATACCTACAGCAGGTTGTCAACATGCTGGAAAGCAACAGAAAAGAGGCCGAACCGCCCCCGCAGCCCCTGAGAGTCCCAGTGTGTTTCCCATTCTCAAACAGGAAGCATGTTAGCAGGACTCGGGTCCAGCTGTCGCGGTGAAACAGGGAAAAACCCACTCAAAGGTCACCGCCTGTCCGCTCCTCAGTCATGCGCTGTGGAAATTACCACCGCAGTTTGGCTTTCTGTTACCTACGCTCACAATGTGAGGCTGACAGGGAATCACTGTGGAAAACTACCGACAGCCAGGTCACATCTCAGCCGGCCGCCACCACCGCCACCGAGGGTCTGTTTGAAAGCTTTAACGAGCTCCGACACCGACAATGAATCTCGTTTAAAAAGCTGAAATAGCATGCCTAAAAAAATAAGTAAAATACTGTCATATTCAAAAAAACGTAAAAACGACAAACATCTGTAAAATGCTGATATTTCAGCTGATTTAAATTCAGTAGAACCGTGTAATTTCATAATCGCAGATTGTAAAAGGATAAATTAATAGATTTTTTAAATATTATTTTGATTTTTGCAATTTAACAAAACTGTTACATTCACAAAAACTTTTATATACATAATTTGTCTTTAAAATATACATATTTTTGTTTTTTAAAAAAAAACACAGTCTAAAAAGTGTAATTTTATTGTCACATGTTGTAAAAAAAAAAAAAAGAATCATATTTGTAAGAACACATTTTTAATGTGGACATTATTTATTTCATTTATTTAATTTACAATTTTTCTATTTTTTTCTGCGATTTTACTAAATGTTACTGTACATATTTTTTTCTTTTGAAAATTATTTTATTTTGATTTAAATCCAAAAACATTTCTGAGTAGAACAATATTTACGGTTTTTACCCTTTTTTGTACAGTCAACATTTTTTCAGTGGTTTTTACTGGATATTATCTTTAATTGAACAAAATGAATAAAACAGCATTTACTTTTTCAATCTCTAATATGCAAAATTTGTCTTTCAAATAACATAATAAATACATATATTTATATATTTCTTTTTTGTTTTTGCTATATTAAATATGGTTTTTTAAAAAAAGTGGAATTTAACCGTCACATATTGTCAAAGATTGAATTTCCATTTAGAAAAATATTCACGTTTTATCTGGACTTTTTTTTTTTTCTTTTTCTTTTTCTTTTTTTTTTTTTTACAATTTACATGTAAATTAATACTTTTTTCTGTAATTAAACAGGAAAAATCTGTAAAATTACATTTAAAAAAAAGAAAAAACATATATGGAGTGTATTTTTTAGTCCTTAATTTAGATTTTATTTAAAAATGTATTTATTAAACAATATTCTTTGCTGATTTAAATACAGTAAAAATACGTCATTTTATGGTAAAATTACTATTAGCAAAAATGCTAACTATTTACAGTTTCAGCCTGATTTTTCACCCTTTTCTTTTTTAATGGTTAATGTGTGAATAAATATATTTTTCCTGTGATTTTACCACCTGTAATCTGTAATTTGATAAAACAGGGAAAAATCTGTATTTTTTATTTTTATTCTTCTCTCCTGAAGCTCTGCAGCGTTTTGACAACTCAAAACACCAGAAAGACTTCCGAACGCTTTTCCAGTTGGGATAAACTCACCCACGGTTGCTTCTGGTCCCTTGGCGGCGTTTCCTGATCGTCCGTCTCCACCTAAACTCAAACGCACACTTTAAAGCGACCTGATGAGCGTTTCTGTCTCCTCACGGTGAAAATCCATCTCTGAAAGGCCTCAGCTCCTCGACCTGCGGCGCCTTCAGTCCCGACCGTCCTCTGGTTCGTCTCCTTTCGGCTCAGACCTCCTCGTTTCTCTGTAGCTGAACCAGATTCTCGCCTCCTCCGGCTCTCTGGGTCTATAGATAGAGAAACGGGCCCATTGTTCTAAGTGACAGAATTTCCTTCCTCTGCTGTGGACAACACCTATATCCTGACTGGGAGAGAGAGAGCGGGGGACAGGCTGCTAGAAAGTGAGGGAAGGGTACATTTACACTCATACTGCTGGTTGAGGCCTTGTTGGGGAGATTACGGCCTTTATATTAAACCACAAAACAGCTCAGATGCCCGGTTTCAGGATTAAACAGAACCATGGGGTCGCTGTTTCCTAATAAAGATTCTTCTAAAGATTGTGGCTGCTGTGGTTTCTGATGAGACAGAATACAGACCCGGAGTGAGGTTTTGCTGGACAGAGGATGAAGGAAGCGAACCCGGCGAGGCAGGAAGCTCCGAGGAGACACCTGTGACCTCTGACCTGGACTTGAACAGGAGGAAAGAGAAAGGAGACGTCGAGGAGTCCAGCATCAGAGCCTCCATCCTCCGAAACCCAGAAGTTTATCAGCGAGACTCGAAGCAGTCCATCGACCTACAGCAGAGAACAGATTCATTTAAAGGTGAGCAAAATGAGATGAGACATGGCGGTGAGGACGGTGCAGATGTGTAGAAACACAACGAACACGTTCAGATTCCTCAGGAAGCTGAAATAACGATACAGCAGATACACAAGTCGAAAACCACGCACTGAAATCAGACTATTAACAACCAGAACATCTCAGAAGGAACTTGTGCCAACGCAGGTTCTGCCGGTTGATGTGTCCCGCTTTAATTATACACAAAGTATAATTTATATAAGTACATTTTATTTTGAAAAGCCAGCAGTTGTTAACAGGGATTTTTAACACCGTTTTGTCTGTTTGTTTGTTTTTCTTTTTACAAATTTTGCAAAAGATGTTTTACACTGTTTTTTTGTTGTTGTTTTGGTCTGTTTTTGTTTTGCTTTGTTTTTTGTTTTACAAATTTTGTAAAAAAAAAAAGATTGGTTTTTGTTTTTAAAAATCTTGTTTGAAAAAATCAACAATGTTTTTGTTTGTTTGTTTTTTACAAATTTTGTAAAAACAAATTTAACCCCTTTTTTTTTTTTTTTTACAAATTTTAAAAAGTTTTAGGAAGGTCAGAGGTTTAATTAACCCTGTTCAGGACGCAGTTTTAACTGCGACTTCTTGAACCGACCGGCTGCGTTCAGTTCGATGAGTCACTTTAAAAGGATTTTTACATATTCTACATTTTGTATTTTTAATTAATTGATGTAGAAACCTGTTTTCACTTCAACACAAAATAAGTCTTTATTTGTACATTTTTGTCAAAAAAAATCCTGAAAACCAATAAAAGGATAAACTTCTGAGGGGATAAGTATTTTTTTTTTTTAACTTTGCATATCCTACATTGCAGCCTTTGTGATTTAATTGGTTCAAAATCGATTGAAAAGCAGCATCTTCGGGCTCGTTTTAAGCCTTATATAAACACGTTAAGTCGCCGTTTTTTGTCACAGCGACAGAATCGAAGCCCTTTTGCTCCGTCAGCCGAGTGGAAGTCATCAAACTCGTGACTCAGGTCGGACTCGAGTCCCTCAAACCACAAGTAAATTCACCTGTCATGTAGAAACCGCTGAACTCTCATGTTTCCAGAAGCCTGTAAAGTCCTTTGATGACACATTTCCTTTCAGCTGGCAAACATTTTCTGGATGTGACCGCTCCTGTCGTGGTGTCATTGGTTCCCTGCTGCTGGTGCTGCCACAGGTTTCTCCTCCGTCCTCTGGTTCGTCCTGTCGCTCCTCCACCTGCTGAGACACACCTGACATCCGTCCAGCTGCATGAATTAAACCTTGTGCAACATCATGTCTGAAGAACAGTTTAGTTTGTGTCCCTTTAGAGGCCACTTTATCGTACTTTAGTCCTCCAAATGCACATTTTGCACTATTCCTACACTTAACACTTGTGTTACTTACGATGCTCTTTTCACTGCTAAAGGATCCAGTTTTACTTGTGCAATGACAACAAAGACATTCGTAGGAATATTGTTGAGCAAAATCTGCTTTTGTGTTGCTGCCCGACTTTCTGTGCGTCTCATGTTCACCTGCAGTCGTCGCTGCAGAGTTTTATTTTAACTGTCTGGCAGGTTTTCACATCCGCCGACTCCAGCAGGGTGTTTTGGTGCAGAACGTTAAAAGTAGAAATTAAAGAAGGATAAAAAGATTTTTACAGCAGGCCTTGTTTGAGAAACTCTGGAAATTGCAATTGGAAATATTTCAGCTACAGAAAGGATGAAATAAAAAACGATTCTCCGTCTGCAGTTGTTGTTAGTTTGATCATTCAAAGATCTGAATGAATCCAAAGCAAGTACATACACATTGTGGATGCCTTTGCCAGTGTTTCATCATATGAGAAAGGATCCAAATGTCCTTTTCCCACTTGTTTTAGATTATTCTTATGTTTTCTCTGTAGATGTACGCCCATAAAAAATCCCAACAATCATCCTAAAATGATTCACACTTTACAAACAGAACCATTCGAGTTGTTTTTTTCCTGCTCGATGTGCACATTCTTGTATCTATTTATCTTATTTTATTTTTATTATTATTATTTATCTTATTTTTCTTTCTATAGTTATTTTACTTTATTGTTGTTCTTTCCTTGCTCATTCCCGGGGCCACACCAACAGCCGGAACCAACTTCCATGTATGTTGTGTACATACTTGGCCATTAAAGCTGATTCTGATTCTGAGCTGCTGAAAATTCCTGTATTATTTATTTACAGCACAGATCAAAGAAAAATAATAAATACTGCGGTGGGATTTTTCCCAGAGCTACTTCCAGGGTTAAACCTTTGTCTGCTCAGCACCAGCAGCCAACTTATCAGAAAATGTATTTAACTTAGTATAAAAGTGGACCTCGATAGCCCTCCTACGTACGGCCACAGGGAAGTCCTGAACAGGGTTAATTAAACCTCTGACCTTCCACTTTGACCCGGTTCTCCTTCACTGGTTCTGATGGTATTTGGTTCTGGTGTGGCCGCAAAAAGCAAACAAACCAAAAGCAGCACAATTTAGTGGACACAAGACGCTGTTACCATCGTGGCAGATCAATAAAAGCGATTAAAGCTGATTTTAAATCCTGAAGGAACTGAGCTGTTATTGTCACGTGCTACTACCACCGACCCATTTCCCAGCAGCCCCTGCGCGCCTGACAGGAAGGACGTGTTTGTGGAGAGGACACAACAAGGTTAGCTGAGGTAACCCCGCATTATTCTGGTATTTTTTAAATTACATTCACGTGTCTCTTTTCAGACTTTGTGGCGTTTAAAATCCACTCAAGCTCCAAGAAAATCGAGCGGAGCTGAACGTGTCCGCCGGCGGCCGGAGTCAGACCGTTAGCAAGCGAGCTAACGACTAAGCTAACAGCTAGGCTAACAGCCGAGCTAGCTGCCTGAGCTACACATGCTAACCGACGCTAAAGCTGTATGGATGTGTCGCTGTTTTTTAGAGACTCAACTCAGAGTTAAAGCTTTCTCATGTTTATTCGAAGTTGTATTTTATTTGTTTTCTGTAAACAAAGCTAAGCTCGTCCAGTGTAGCTTAGCGAGCTAACGCCATGTAGCTAACTGAGGTGATGCTGCTGCTGTGTTGTTTCAAACCTGTCAGCTGGACATTAATATTTTCCGTGTCTTATTCTTCCAGCATCATCTGTCAAAAGCCTTTTAAAAATGTCTGAGACTATCGGAGAGAAGATCAAAAACTACCGGACCGCTCCCTTCGACGCCCGGTTCCCCAACACCAACCAGACCCGCAACTGTTTCCAGAACTATCTGGGTGAGGACGTGGATCAATAACTAATAATCAATCGATCAATAAAGACACACACTAAAAACCCCACAGGAAGATGTTTAGTTTGACACATCAGATACAGCTGCAACGATTAGTCGATTAGCTGTCAGCTATTTAATTAACCTCCAACTACCTTGATAATCGATTAATCCGTTTTTGAGGGGAAACAAAAAGCTAAATTCTGTTCCTGCTTCTCCAATGTGAATAGTTTCTGGTTTCTTTCCTCCTCTATGACAGCAAACTAAAGCTCTTTGCCCTTGAGTGAACCTTCATCAGAACACATTGTGAAGTAAATCAGATGTTTAGCTCCGGTTTGGGTCTCCTCCAGGAGATTTTAGAGTCTGGCAGATCTTTGGATAAAACAAGGCAATTAAGGAAACACGATCCACTTTTTTTTTTTTTTTTTTGTTGCCGTTTTCTGACATTTCAGAGACTCGACAACTGATCAATGAATCCAGAGAAAGGTTTCAGTTGCAGCCACGTCGATGCAGAGACGACGGATTCTCCCCTGAGATATTTTCAGTGTCTATAGCTTTCCTTTTCTTTCCTGCAGGTGGACGTTTCTGCACCGGTTTGCTTCTTTTTGGAATCAGTTTATGGCGGAAATATTTTCATGCAAAGAAAAATTCAAATTTCAGGGTTTAAGATGTGTTTCAGCGAGATTCCTGCTCACTTTCAAACCTTTCTGCACATTCAGAACAGTTTCAGAGAGAAAAACTTTCTCCGTCTGAGGTGTTGTTGGGTCTATGAATGAATCTACGCCCGTGAAGAAACCTTAAAGCACACAAAGACATGTACTGTAGAGATGGAAACTGTGAGATTGTGTGTGAGTGTTGCTGCGTATTTCTACAGCATCTGTACTGTGAGTGTTAGAATTCTGACTTACAGGTGGATTTTATTTTAAGTCAGAGGTGCTCCAGTAAAAGTTTCAGCAGCCTTGTATACATTTTGCCCTTAAATATACACAGCACACCTGAGAGTCTAACGGTGACGCTTTGCTGCGGAAACGTCTTCCCCGGCTTGTTATTCATAGAAGCTTTGACGCGTTGCTGATCGAACGGACAACAACGATCAGCTCCTAGTTGGGCGACACGCTGGTTTCTGTTTGTCCTTCGGGCCTCTTTGGTCTCCGTGACCCCTGACCTCTCCTGTTATTTCTGCCTCAGACTTCCACAGGTGCAACAAGGCCCTGTCAGCCCGAGACCAGGATGTGGCGCCCTGCGACTGGTACCAGAGGGTCTACAAGAGCCTCTGCCCCACCAGCTGGGTGAGTTCACAGAGAATCGTATCTGCACCAACACATGAATCGATTTGTACTAAATATTGAGGCCAGCGCTGTAATTCAGTGGTTTAATGATTTAATTTGAGCAGATGAAACATTTAAAGGCTCGATTATGCTGCACGTTGTTCAGTGTTCCTGCTTCGGCTGACTTTAGTCCCATCGCACATGTTTAGCAGCATCTGATGCAGAGTTTAAACTGGTTTAGGTGGTTTTTTACAGATTCCTCCTGATGTGACGGTCACGCCTTTAACACTGTTTAAAAATGACCATAAAGTTAATCTCAGTATCTGTCAGAAAATCACAATTCGTTTGTATTTTTTTAAACAGTCCGAATTGTGTGATCGCAGCTTCCCACATGTGAATATTTTACCAGAAAACTTCATCTTTGGCTTTGGGAAGCACTGACTTTTTAATTTTTTTGCAGTTTTCTGAATGTTTTTTAATCAGTTTCAGTATTTTTTGTAAAGAAACGTCTCATTTCTGTGATTGCAGCTTCTTCAATGTGAATATTTATATTTATATTATGACACTAAACTGAAGATCTTTGGACAAAACAAAACATTTGAGGAAACTGATCCACATTTTAGAGACCCAACAGCTGATCGATTCATCAGTTTGAGTCATTTTTAGTCTTAAATAAATGATTTTACCTTCTTTGATGTTTTTTTTCCCCAAAATTATCCAGCCCTTGATATATGTTTTGTTCTGTGATTGATTATTATTTATTAGTTATAATAATAATAATGGTAATAATAATGATAATAATAAAAAACTTTATTTATAAAGGAACTTTTCAAAACAAATGTTACAAAGTGCTTTCCAATAGAAAATAAATTAAAATTGAACTAAAATAAGCACAGAACAGTTAGCTATGTGTAGTTTAATTAATTATTTATAGAATAAATTGGTATAGTTTGAGCTGCACATCTGCTTTGGGTGAACTTTGATCTTTGTTTTGAGTTTAGAAACTGTCTGATGAACGATTCAGGAAATTATTAAACTGATTTTTCTGACGGATTTTGTGATTTGATCTTAAAGCTTCGCTGAACTTTAAAACGTGATGGAGAGTCAAACCATCGACACAACGGCTGAGTAACATCGATCCTAACTTGCAGCTTTTGTGATTTGCTGACTTTATTCTTTCAAATCGCATTTTTGATTTAAAATCGATCGACCGTTCAGGTGGAAGACGCCTCATGTTTCTGTCCACAGTAAACCTGAACTGTGATGGGTGTAAATAAATCTGAGCTCTGCTGACGTTTCCTCTCTCGTCTCCTTCAGGTCGGCAAATGGGACGAGCAGATAGAGAACGGAAGCTTCCCAGGAAAGATCTGAACCGGGCCGGCGCCAGTGTGGACGTTTTGTTACCTGAACCTTTACCTCTGTACCGTGCCTAAAGGTCATCGTCACTCCCGGCATCGTTACTGTTCAGAACTTAACCGCTCAAGTTACTTAAGTTTGAAACACGCACAACTTCTCCCACGTGAAGACCTGAAGCTGGTCTCCTGCTCTGTTGTCTCCTGTTTGGCGTTAATGATTCACTAAACACAGGGCAGATTTAATTAAAGACGTTCTTTACCAACTCTGCTGCGTCCGACTCGCTCATTTCACAAAGCAAACGTGGTGCATTTCTACTGAAGTCAAGCCGAGACTCGTCCGGTGATTTTTATGTGGCTCAGAAGCACAAAATCCAGAGTAGGAACTTTGTTCTCACCTGAACGAGACTTTACAGGAGCAGTGGTGCAGTCGGAGCATAAACGGAGCCTCAGGATGCGTTACAGGAGTCATCTTTACAAATGAAAACACTCTGAATCCTCTGATTTTAGCTTTTTATTTGTGAATGTTTTCTGCTTTCTTTCCTCCTTCATAGCAGGAGGATGGAAACCAACGTGTTCTGCAACGTTTTAAAGACAAATTCAGTGTTTGCAGCTACTTCAATGTGAATATTTTCTGGTTTCTTTCCTGTAAACTGAAGATCTTTGGACAAAACGAGACATTTGTCACTTTGGGGTTTGAC